AGATCGATCGATGGATAGATGATAGATGGATGGATGGATAGATGGATAGATGGATAGATGGATCGATGGATAGATGATAGATGATAGATGGATAGATCAATGGATAAATGGATGGATGGATGGATGGATGGATGGATAGATGGATAGATCAATGGATAGATAGATGGATGGATAGATGGATAGATGGATGGGTAGATGATGGATGGATGGATGGATGGATGGATGGATGGACGGATAGATAGATGGATGGATGGATGGATGGAGGCATCCAGTAGCATTTTCTAATTGTACAGAAAAAATGCATATGAATAATCAAAAATGAAGCAGAATTATAAATTTGAAAAGACAAATATGCACAGGGTGGTAGGGGGTACTGCCTTCATGATTAACCTACTGTGGGAGTAGTTGAACAGTGTGATGTCTTGTGGGACAAAGGACTTCCTGAATCTGTCCGTGGAGCATGGCTGGGACAGCAGCCTACCACTGAAGGAGCTCCTCTGCTTCATGATGGTGCCGTGCAGAGGATGGTCAGCATTTTCCATGATGGACAGCTGAGGGCCTATTTATCTGCCACCGATGTAAGGGACTCCAGTTCTGTTCCCAGCATAGAACCAGCTTTCCTCAACAGCCTGTCCAATCGTCCTGCATCTCTATTCTTAATGCTGCCTCCACAACACACAACTGCACAGAAGAGGACGCTGGCTACCACAGACTGGTACCACACCAGCAGTAGTTTCCTGTAGATACTGAAGGAGCTAATCCTCCTCAGGAAGTAGAGCCTGCTCTGACCCTTCCTGCAGAGGGAGTCTGTGTTCACTGACCAGTCCAGCCTGTCATCCAGCTTTCAGCCTATTACTCAGTCCATGAGGACAAAGGGAGCGTGAGGTAAGCAGATATTTTGGTTGTTCCACATACAATAATAAATTAAACGTACTACAGATGGTGGAACAAACTGTTGATGTCCAGTCTCACACATTACAACACAAACCCAGGACAAGACAAAACAAGACAGCAGAGCATCCCTGTGCACTGGGGGCATTTAAACACAGTTGTGCACAGCTCAATCACATGCCTAAAAAATAAAAAGCACATTAGATCTGGATTCACGTTACATAACAATAATAAAAGAACTAAATGGCAGGCAGAGCAGGAGCGCAGCCTACCAGGGGAATGAGCGGATCAGCAGCAGGTCAGAAGAAGGCAGAAACCGTGCACTGCAAAGGGCTCCAGCTGCAGCCAGTAACTCCTGCAGAGCAACAACGCTGCAGAAACACAGCAGGTGGAGCACCCAAACACCAACCAAATCCCAGCCACTCACATTCAACAAAACTGCACCGTCAATCTCAGATGATCAGAATCCAAGAACACCAGTCACACAAACAGCTGACGTGCAGCAGGAGGAACAAAGATGCACCTTGTAGCAGCAATCTGCCCAATTATCAAGGCATCTGCCACACCCATCAATCAGGTGCGCTCTGATCAACACCTGCTGCACAGAGTGGGGAGGGTGGAACATCATCTCACCACATTTAGATTGGCACTAATACCCGTTCAACTGCCCCGCTTTCTGGGTCTGGCACACCACTTGCATCACTTCTAGCGTCGGTTGGCGTCAGAAGTGGAGTCCTCTGTTTTGCAGGCCCTTGGGTCTCACCGGTGTAAGACACCTAGCTCACCAAGTGCTTTGGAATCCAAGGTCAAAATCACTCCGGAGAGATCGTTTGAGACATGTTGTGTTCTGCTGCTGAATTGTTGTTGCATAGAAAGGGCATCAGAGGGCGGTCTAAGACTGTATGTTTAAAAAGATACTGTACAGAGTGACGGAGGAGGAAGAACGAAAGTAAGGGAGTCGAGAAGGAGAACTGAAGCTGATCCACGTGTCTTCTTATTTTTCCTTTAATTCAATCCTGCAACAAACAACACTGGTGACGAGGATGACTATTTCTGTGCCTTCACCTGCTCCATTCATGCCATGCCCAGGAGAACCAGCAATAGCATTTCCAACATGGTTAAAATGTTTGAAAACTACATGTTGGTGATGGCAGCGTTGGGGGACGACTGGCCTGATGCAAGAAAGTGTGCGGTTCTACTTCATGACCGGGGTACGGAGGGTCAACGGCTTTTCTACACCCTGCCAAACACTGGAGACACGTTTGCTGCTGCTACTGCTGCTCTAAAAGAACATTTTGTAACGACGGTGAACGTCATTGCTGAACGTCACAAGTTTCAACAAAGAGCTCAGAGACAGGACGAGACGATAAACCATTTCTTAGCTTCTCTACACGAGTTAGCTGCTGCATGTGATTTTGGCAACATGAAGGAACAAATGCTACGTGATCAACTGATGGAGCGTGTTGCTAACGCTTGCGTAACAGACCGATTATTACTTGAACCGGACCAAACACTTGCTCAAGCATTGGCGTTGCAAATTGAAAGTGGATTAAGGGATGCTAACGTTCTCTCTGATGCTACTGCTGCTGGCGCTTGTGCTCCGGTGAGGACCATACAGAAACAATCAAAGCCAAGCCGCCACTGGGACACGAAGAAGAAGCTGCTGCTGAATCCTGCTCCTGCCACGGCTCAAACTGCTGCTGAATCCTGCTCCTGCCACGGCTCAAG